TCCAGTTCGAACGTCGATTACTCCGCTCGAGCGGAAATGCAGACAAAGGTTTCCGCCCGAGCGCAGACTTAGACGTTCGAGCGTACTGCAAAACAGTCAAAAGTACTGGATAGGTGAAAATCACGCTCGATTGGGCGCTCGACATCCTCTCGAGCGTAAGACACAAGGTCCCGCTCGAGCGTCAATTACCCCGCTCGAGCGGACATCAAAACAGTGCAAAATACTGGGAGCACGAATTTCATGCTCGAGCGCCAGTCACCCCGCTCGAGCGTGAGTTCAAAATCTAGAATTCCCAAATTTGAACCTCAAGCTCAAATCCAACTTTCAAAGCATTAAATTCAATTCCTTTGGGCCCATTTCCTGGAAAACACTTCAAAACTCATAGTTTAACATGATTCAAAGCTCAATTTGTAAAATCAAGGCCCAAATGTGAGGGAATTAAACTCAGTTTCAAACCAATTTTCATGAACAAGATGAACATGCAACATGCATGAAGTTAAACAACTTACAAGCCTCAAATACATGCTCTATTGAGCTAATATCTTCAAAGACAAGATGAATTCATGGACTTAACATAAATATGAGCATGCATGCGACAATTTTCCATGGAATCAACTTAAAATTCAATAATATAGGCATGCATGCAACAATTGAGCTCTAATTCAAAACTATTGAACCAATTCAAGCCTTAGATCACTAAAGACCCATTAATCATGCAAGAATCAACTTAAAGACACAATTAAGAGGTTGAATTCCTTACCTAGGTCTTCAATTACAAGTGTAGAAGTTCAATTAGGCAAATCTCCTACAATTTCTTCAAGTCTCCAAGCAAAACACAAGAAGAAATTCAATTCCTCTCCCTCTCTCTCTCTTGGTTGGCTAAGGCAAGGGAAATGAGCTGATGAAATGTTTGCCTAAGTGTATAATAAGGCTCAAATATAGTTCATGAAGTGGCCCACTCACAATGGCAAAGTTGTAGATAAGCCTAACTCTTTAATTAGCTTTACTTAATCTAGTTTAATCATACTAAATCAAATTTTAGATAAATATGCCATAAAATCACATAAATTCTACCGATCATAAAACACAAATCGATCTTCGGTTCGGCCGCCGATAAGGCCTTCAATTTGGTAATTTAAACATAAAACATGAATAGATAATGCATTTAAACAGATACAGTCAATCAATCAGTTTCAGATTTCAGTCAGTCAGTTCAGTATTTCAATCAGTTCAATTACTTTTCATAATCAGCCTCAGTTTAGTAGTAATCGGTAGTTTATCGGTAGACAGTGGTGAGCGTTGTTACAGTGAGTGTTGTATGAGATTTTTTGAAAGATTAATGGCACTAGTGTTATCACATTTAATGGGAATGCGATCAAAGTGAAATCCAAAATCAAGAAATTGTTGTTTCATCCAAAGTATTTGAGCACAACAACTAGCAGCAGCAATATATCCTGCTTCAGCTGTAGATAAAAGCCACTGAATTTTGTTTCTTACAAAAATATGAAGTGAGTGAATTTTCAAGAAATTAACAAGTACCACTAGTGCTTTTTTGGTCAAGTCTACATCCCGCAAAATTGGCGTCTGAGTAATCGTAAAGATCAAAAACATTTGTTTTAGGATACCAAAGACCCAAAAGTGGAGTGCCAATGAGATATCTAAAAATACGTTTTACTGCAGTGACGTGTGATTATTTTGGAGTTGATTGAAAATGAGCACATACACATACACACTAAACATGATATCGGGTTTACTTGCTATCAGATAGAGTAGAGAGCCAATCATACCTCGATATTTCTTTTCGTCTACTGGTTTACCTTGTTCATCTTTGTTGATTTTAATTGATGTGCTCATAGGAGTTGCTGTAGGTTTGGACAAATCCATTTCAAATCTTTTGAGAAGATCTTTGATATATTTTGCTTGAGATAGATGAAGACCATCTTGGGTTTGTTTTATTTGCAATCCGAGAAAGTAAGTCAACTCTCCCATCATACTCATTTCAAATTCCCCCTACATATCCTTAGCAAATTCCTTGCACAAGAATTCATTAGTAGCTTCGAATATGATATCATCGACATAAATTTGAACATTGAGCATATCAACATTTTTTATTTTTATGAAAAGAATGGTATCAATTTTTTCACAAGAAAAACCTTTTTCAATAAGAAAATTGCTCAAGCATTCATACCAAGCTCTAGGAGCTTGTTTTAAACCATACAAAGCTTTTGAAAGTTTATAAATGTGGTCTGGGTGTTTGTGGTTTTCAAAACCGGGAGATTGTTTAACATACACTTCCTCCAAAATATGACCATTTAAAAAGGCACTTTTCACATCCATTTGGTAAAGTTTAAAATTTCTAAAACAAGCAAATGCAAGCAACATACGTATGGCTTCAAGGCGTGCAACAGGTGCAAATGTTTCGTTAAAATCAATACCCTCTTCTAGGTTATAACCTTGGGCTACAAGTTTAGCTTTGTTTCGAATAACAACACCGAATTCATCCATTTTGTTTCGAAAGATCCATTTAGTTCCAATAACAGAATGTTCTTTAGGGCGAGGTGACAAATTCCAAACTTCATTTCTTTCAAACTGATTTAACTCTTCTTGCATAGCAAAAATCTAGTTTTCATTGAGTTCAGCCTCAGAAAAAGTTTTTGGTTCAATTTGAGAAACAAAAGCTAAATTACCACAAATATTATTAATAGAAGAGCGAGTTCTTACTCCTTGTGTGGCGTCTCCTATAATGAGATCTTTGGGATGACCATGAGCATACTTCCATTCTTTGGGTAAATCATGTTCCTTTATGAGAATGGCATATTCTTTTTGAAGATCTTCCATAGAGATTTCAATATTGGGTTTTGAAGAATGAAGTGCATCATTTTCTAATAAATAAATGCCTTCAATTCTTGGATTTGAATCTGTAGCATCATCAACAACAATATCCTTGGAAGCAAATGAGTTAGATTCATCAAAAGCAACATGTATGGATTCTTCAACGAGTAAAGTTCTTTTATTAAAAACGCGATATGCTTTACTAGAATTTGTATAGCCAAGAAATACAGCTTCATCAGATTTTGCGCCAAATTTTCCAAGATTCTCTTTATTGTTATTGAGTACAAAGCATTTATAACCAAATGCATGAAAGTGGCCAATGTTGGGTTTTCTACCTTTCCATAGTTCATATGGTGTTTTCTTTAATATGGGTCTAATCATGGCACGATTAATAACATAGCAAGTAGTATTGACGGCTTCTGCCCAAAAATATCTTGGCAGATTATTTTCACAAAGCATAGTACGAGCCATTTCCTCAAGAACTCTATTTTTTCTTTCTACCATACCAATTTGTTGAGAAGTTCGAGGAGTAGAAAAATTATGATCAATGCCATGCTCATTACAAAATAGAATAAACTCATCATTATCAAATTCTCTACCATGATCACTTCTAATGGTACAAATAGTAAGACTAACCATATTTTGATTACATTTACAAAGAGCTGAAAAAGCAGAGTAAGTATCACTTTTGTGTGCCAAGAAAATCACCCAAGTAAATCTAGTATAATCATCTACACAAATAAGACAGTAAGATTTTCCTCTAAGACTTAAGGTTCTAGATGGTCCAAATAAGTCAATATGCAATATTTGATGTGGTCTAGATGTGGAAATGATATTTTTGGATTTGAAAGAGACTCGTGTTTGTTTTCTTTGTTGACACGCATCACAAAGTCTATCCTTTTCAAAAATAATTTTTGGTAAGCCAACGACTAAGTCAAGTTTTGAAAGCAAATCCATATGAGCATGTCCTAACCTCCTGTGCCACAACCATCCAGATTCATTTAAAGAAAATAAGCACTTAACATTATGATTTGGAGATAAGCTATGCAAATCAAATGTATACACGTTCTTATCCCTATGTCCAACAAAAAGCACTGAGTTATCAGCAGAATTTTTAATAGTGTAGTAGGACTTATCAAAAGAAACATGATTGTCTTTATCACACATTTGACTAATTCTAAGCAAGTTATACTTCAATCCTTCAACAAGCAATACGTCCTCAATAATGGGTGAGGAAGTTTTAGCGATATTGCCTTCACCTATGATCTTTCCCTTACTGTTGTCTCCAAAGGTTACATGACCTCCTTCTATGGATTTAAGAGTTGAGAACATTGCTCTATCGCCGGTCATGTGCCTTGAGCAACACTGTCGAGGTATCACCGGTTATTGCTGAAATTTGACATAAAGCACACCTGTAAGAATCAGATTTTTGTTGGCTTTTTAGTACCCATCTTTTCTTGGGTCCATGAGAGTTAGAAATTGAAGTGTTTTTGGGAACCCACTTCTTTTTCATTCTATTGAATGAGTTTCTCTTAGCAAAACATAAAAGAGAGATGTGGCATTTTCTTTCACAGTAATGGCATGTGAGATAAGAATGGTTAGATGATGCATATACAAAGGATTTTGGGGAAGTTGTTGCTTTCGAAAATGGTTTATAGCCAATCCCCATTCTTCTAAAGGTTTGAGTTTGACTTTTGAGAATTTTATCTAAGGTATCTCTCCCTTGAGTAAATTTAGAAAGAACATTTTTTAAATTTTTTATGTTTTCATTTAAGACAACTTTCTCATTTTTCAAAATTTCATTTTCCTTTTGTAAAAATTCTTTTTCCTTTGAGAATTCTTCTCCTTTTCCATTGTCAAGACTTCGTTTTCTAAAGTATTGATTTTAGAAGTTAAGAATTCATTTTCTTGAGAGAAACTAGAAATCATTTTCTTTGACAATTACTTTTCAAACTTAATTTTTTAAATTCATCATGCAATTCATCAAAAGCAGTTTGTAATTCATCGAAGGTAAATGAGTCATCATTTACCTCATCTTCAAGTGCCATTAAGCATAGATTTGTGACTTCACTTTTGCAAATATCCGTCTCTGAGTTGCTATCATCACTGTCTTCTCCCCATGCTGCAATCATGGCTTTCTTATTCATTTTCTTGAGAGAAACTAGAAATCATTTTCTTTGACAATTACTTTTCAAACTTAATTTTTTAAATTCATCATGCAATTCATCAAAAGCAGTTTGTAATTCATCGAAGGTAAATGAGTCATCATTTACCTCATCTTCAAGTGCCATTAAGCATAGTTTTGTGACTTCACTTTTGCAAATATCCGTCTCTGAGTTGCTATCATCACTGTCTTCTCCCCGTGCTGCAATCATGGCTTTCTTCTTATCCTTCTTGAATTGTTTTTTGAGCTCTGGACATTCTGATTTGTAATGACCTGGCTTGTTACATTCGTAGCAGATCACTTCGGATTTTTTATGACTTTCTTCTTTTTGAAAATCTTTGTTGAAATCTTTTCTGAAAAACTTCCTTACACCTTGCTTCTTTTTTACAAATCTTTTGAATCTTTTGGTAATGAAAGCCATCTCTTCATCTTCTTCTGAAGCATCTTTTTCTTCCTCTTGAGATTTTATGGTGTACTTGAAAGCTATCCCTTTCTTCTTATTCTTGTCTTCTTCTTCTTGTCCTTCTTGCATAATGATCTCATGGGTCAGGAGAGATCCCATTAGCTCATCAAGACTTAATGTTGATAAGTCTCTTGCTTCTATCACTGCAATAACTTTGTTCTCCCAACTTTTTGGCAATGATCGGAGGACTTTTCTAACAATTTCTACATTCGTGTAAGTCTTCCCAAGAGATTTAAGACTGTTTATAATATCTATAAAACGAGTGAACATTTGAGATATGTTTTCATCTGGTTTCATCTTGAAGAGCTCATAGTTATGAACAAGTAAGCTCACTCTAGATTCTTTAACTTGAGTGGTTCCCTCATGAGTTACAACAAGTTTATCCCAAATTTCTTTTGCAGTGGTACAAGTGCATATTCTGTTAAACTCAATAGCATCAAGTGCACAATACAACATATTAGCAGCTTTGGCATTTAATTGAATATCTTTATAGTTAGCACTAGTCCACTCACTCTCAAGTTTGGGAACTAGCAGACCATCTATGGTTTTTGTGGGTACCTTAGGACCCTCACATATGATTTTCCAAACTTCATAGCCAGTAGATTGAATGTGCATAATCATGCGGGTTTTTCAATAGTTAAAATTTGCTCCATTGAAGAAGGGTGGTCTGTTTGAGGCTTGACCTTAAGGCAGAGAAGAACTAGGGTTTGCCATAGATCACTCTAAGATGGTTAAGTCACACTACTAGTAGAGACGTGGCTTTGATACCAATTGTTAAACAGGAAAGCAATCCAAGAGGGGGGATGAATTGGGTTACTACAAAAATTGGTCCAAAAATAAGGTTAAAAAGATCTTAAGTAATTAAATGCAGCAGATAATCAATAGATTAACAGAAAGTAAAAAGAATAGGAAGAAGAACTTAACACAAGGATATATAGTGGTTCGGCTCACCGGCCTATGTCCACTCCTCAAGAATCCTCCTTGAGAATTTCTTCACTACGAATCGATGCACCACCAAGATTTTTCCAACTTGAGGTTTTTTACAAAAGGATTTACTTCAATCTGTTGAGGATCTCACCCAACAAAATGCCTCACTTTACAAATGTTTCACTCAGAAACTAAGAAACTAGAAGAAGAGGTTCAATTGTCCTCTTTGACAATTACTATCTCTCAAAAGATGGATAATGAAAACGTAAGCTCACAAGTAAGTTTTGGACTAACTTAGATCTGAAAATGGGAGAACACAAGTGAAATCACAGAGATTGAAAATGATGCTCGGTATACTTAGTGTAGTTGCAGTCGTATGTTTTGTGCTTTCAGATCTGGAAAAGATCCAGATTTATAGCCTCCATCTGACTTAACTCTTGAAGAAAAAACACACCCACGTGGGTTTACTATCCGTTGGAGCTGGGCAAGGAAAAAGTTTCCAGCTGTTGTGAGTGGAGCATGGATGGTGCAGGCTGTTTTCTGACCACTGGAGATGGAGCTTCCTCAAAGGAAGTGATGCCCATGCTTGGGATACAAAACTATGGTCGATGGATATAATGTTGTCTTCATGCTTTTCTTTTTCTAATCTTGGGAGTTGTGTGAGTGGAGAATGTTTCCTCCATTAAGTCAAAGATTATTGTCCCAAAGTTCCTTTTGATTAGAATAACATTTTTCTGATGATGCTGTCACAGAGACCCTCTTTGAGTTGGAAAATGGCAACTAGGTTTTTTGCAACCCAAACATAAAGGTGTCGACCCCTACAGATTGGGTGTCGACCCTTTGCTCTGTCTTTTCTTTCCAGAGTTGATTTACATGTGTTCCTGGTGTCGACCCTTATCTCATTTGGCGTCGACCCTTGCGGCTAAAGTGTATATTGCTTTTTGGTGTCGACCCTTGCTGCTGTTGTTGTCGACCCTTACATCTGGAGTGTATACTGCTTTTTGGTGTCGACCCTTGCTGCTGTTGGTATCGACCCTTCATCTGGAACACTTAGTTATTTTTCTAGCTTCTCCCTGGTGTCAACCCCTGTTTTCTAGTGTCGACCTTTGTTCTGGAACACTTAACACTCTTGAGGATTATTCTAGTGTCGACCCTTGCTCTTCTGGTGTCGACCCTTAGACCTGTGTTAGACAAAGATAGAGTTTTGCAACCAAGAGCTAATGCTTATATTTTTGATATCCCAAAAGTTATTGAAACATAATATTCTAGAGTCCCAAAACAATTAGAATCATGAAACACAGATATTAATTTGAAAACTTTAAATAATCAGAAGAATAAAATATTCGTTACTAATCAAAATCAAGAGAAACTCAAGTTTGAGAAACCTTGGGGCTAACACTTTGCATTGAGAAAGGAATGTTGGGAAACAATTTTTCATGAAATAATTTGGGTTAAATACAGTGGTAAGTCTTAAATGGTGGTGTAGAGACCAAAAAACTGTGTGGATAGGTGTCGAGCCTTCCAGTTAATACTGGTAAAAACGACAGAATATAGGTGTCAAGCCTTCCAGTTAATACTGATAAAAATGACAAATTGGTAGTACTTGTATAGTCTACTTGCAGACACCAGCCTAGGGATTACCTGAGTTGTATTTACCATCTTGGAATTTTATTGAAATTGTTGGATTAATGCGTTTTCAAATTGGCATTGTGTGTAAGATTTTCAAAAGACGAGAAAAATATTTTGAGCATGACATGGCATATGCATTCATCTCATAAGATTGTATAAAATAGATTTGATGAATTGTTTAATTATTTGATTTAATTGATAATGAGATAATTGAATGAATTGAAAAGGATGTCCTGTTGCTATTGAAACATATTTATTTATTTAAGTTAACTTGTTGTGGTTAATTAAATAAATTGGATTTAAGAGATTATGTAATAAAATCATATAGTTTTGACATGATATGATTTCACGTATATGTATGAGTATTTTGGTACTTGCATATCTTCTAATGTTTTAATATGAGATTACTTGATGAGCTAATGGTTACTCACCCCCTGCCTGTACATATGTACAGGAAATGCTTTTTGGATTTGAAGATCAAACAATGGGTTTTACCATTTCATAAGTGTAATGTAGTGATGGGTTGTACTATTTCATTTGTTTGTTTGGCTGAGTGCTATTTTTTTGTAAAGAGTAGTGTCCTTTTTTTTTTTATTGTAAGTCTCAGGGCATTTCTTTTATTTGTATAAAAATGTCACTGTTGTATAACGAGAGGGAACATGTATATTTAATTATTCATCATTTCATCAAGGGATGAACTGTCATTTATAAATTGAACTTAATTAATGAATATTATAATGTTATCCGAGTAATAAAATTTGGACCGTGACAGAAATATATAATTTTCATTAAACCATGATAAAGCAATACATGCTAAATATTAAGGACACTGATCAACTCATAAGATATCCAACTCCAATAGTCACAAAGAAGAGGATTTGTATTCCATGAACCACAACATTCATATCCCCATTACAATTACAAGCAAAGCTAGCTAAGTGCCTTCAGTACACGGCAAACAGGTGCACTTGTGAGTTCCCACTAACTGTGTTGAACACTCCGATATATTACTACATTGCTAAAACCCAATTCCATCACCACCAACACCAACATGGCCTCTCTCAAAGACAACCAGTTATTCGACCCCAGTTAAGCAGAGGAAGCATGATCCAATTGTCAAGAACAGAATCACGGAGTACCACCCCAGCTCCTCTCTTTGTCCCCTACTACATACAATACAATTACCATCAAAGTTAGCCTTTACCCAACAACCTGGCAATAAAGTAGGCCTCCCATTCTCCACAGCAGCAACTGTCTCCAGAATATCTCCATCATTCACTACTGAAATCCAGATTACGAGCACAGAGAGCACAAAAAATATGCAGAAACAACAGCTCTATAGCCACAACAACTTGCACAATCAACAAAAGGATAGAAAAGCTTACCTTGAAAATAGCAGTCATTCCTGTCATTGCCTAGATGCATAAGGAGATGTCATCCAAAGCCAATATAAAGTGTCCAATTTTACCATGAATAATTGGGATCTTCCAAAGAAAACATTTTTAAAATTTATGCTGAAATAGACTGAATTTATAAACAAGCAGGACTTACAAAAAGAAAAAGAAAAAGAAAAAGATACTAATTTATTGGAAACTCATATTTTTTATTAACCAAAAATCAACTTGCTTTAAAACATAATAACTTTTTCACTATAATATCTGTATGCAATGACTTCTAACAATCTTATAACTTTTACAAAGCTGATGGAGAAGTAATGAGTTCCCTTACTAGGGCACAAACACCCACAATATTATTTTAGAGAAAAAATAATGTGTTAACATGACAGTCAATGCAACCATGCACCATAGCTTATCCTTTTAATTCATAAAAGCCCCTTACTATAGCTATGGGCTTCATCATTGGTTACATCTAATCTGCAAGAGTCAAATAGGCAAGAATTTTAAGACCCTTTTCCAAGGTTTTAAAAAACGGCCGCAACTGTTACGTAACGGTTGTGGTGGTTACCGCCACCCATTACGGCCGCTTGTGTAGTGTGATTGAGATTTACAGGTATGTTGTCCGTAGCGGTTGCCGTAGCGGCCGTAACGGCGCCGAAACAGCCGTAACGACCTGTTACGCACCGTTACATAATAGTTCCGAATTGCTTCTTTCGAAAAAATGCACAAAAAAAAGTTGAAAATGGGGGAAGAGGGATAGAGAGAAAAGGGAAGATAAAGAGAGAAGATGGAGGAGCAAGAGATAGAGACAGAGAATAAAGCAGTTGTCTGTTGCATTGGCTGAGGTTGCTGTCTGTTGCATTGGCTAATGTCTGCTGTCTATTGCATTGGCTAAGGGTCCTGTTGTATGGTTCTTAGTCTGCTGTTGTAGGGTTCCATCCCTGTTTCCTTCATTATTGGAAAACTTCTCCTAAAAAGCTCTGCTGAGGAAGTATATGGAGGCTACTATGTGGGAGGCTTGGACTCAAGGATAGAGGAGGGGCTGATCTTTCTCATGTTGATCTCAGAGGTGAAAATTTTTCTTGGGCAAATATGACAAAGGTAAATCCGAGCAATGTTAACTTGGAAGGAGCACTAGCTACTGGCAACAAATCTTTCAAGGGTTCAACTATAATTGGTGTTGCTATGTAGAAACATCACTTAACAGTAGTTCAACAAGTTAGAATGTGTCCTAGTTGAATGGCTTTGCCTGTTTTTGGGTAGATGTATGGCTGTATGGTTTTGATGCTGGACTGATATTGTTGTAGTTGATTGTTGTTGATGTTGTTGTGTTGGGTGGCTGTATGGGCTAAATACTGGTATGCTAGACTGCTGATTGATGTTGGTCTGCTCTGCTTTGTTTGCCTTAATGCTAGCTGATGGTCTGTGCTGATGTTGTTGTGTCGGTTGGTCTCTCACAAACTCTGTGGGTGCTAGCAAATGATAAGATGGGCTTTGTAATTTCCTTTGTACTTCGTTCTTGTTTATTCCATCAATAAAATTTCTTATTTTGCCGATCAAAAAAAGAGAGAGAAGAGGGAAGATGAAGAACATGTTATTGATTTGTTGAAACTGTAAGACCTATGCTATTCTATTCAGCTGCTATCACTCAACCATTTTGTTTGTGTGTGTCTATCTATATATTGTTTGAAAATAATAATAATAAGTGTGGTCGTTATCTATTTGGCTTGGTTAAAATATGTATATATATATAGATATTTAGACTTTTATGTATTCTCTTACTTTTGTCATTGTTTATCTTATATATAATAGTTAGTGATTAATTTTTTGTATAATATAAATTCATTAATTATTAAAATAAAATGTAAAAAACTCAGTTTATAGTAATTTAAAAACATGAAATATATTGGATCATACTTAAAAATTTATCAATATTTATTTTAAACCCAATAAATATGATCATGAAAAAAAATATGTGTATCGGTAAGTTTTTTTCAAATTGTGCGAAAAATAAAAAAATTCACAGTTCCGGTTACTGCAACCGTTACACTACGGCCTTTACGTCCCACAACCTTAACCGTGCCACCGCCACCGTTATAGTGACCGTAGCCACTTTTCAGAACCTTGCCCTTTTCTCTCTCTCTGTCTCTCTCCCCCACAAACTCCTTGTTTGGAAGATTAAGTGGAGGAAGAAAGGTTTGGAGTATTTATTTAAGAGATATATGAAACAGTAACTAGGTGTGAGCCCACTTAATAACATGGATCATATGCCTACGAGACTCTTACTATGGATGAATGGGGGGCACCAACTTGAATGGTGTTCCCTAATCATATGATCATATCTGGATTGGAGGGGTTCCATGAACTCCAAATGAAAAAAAAGTGAACAACAAAAAATAATTATTAATTACTCTGTCTTGCTTCTTGAAAGGACAAAAAAAAATTGGACTGGAAAGCATTTTCTCATTCTCATAAAAACAGAAAGCACTAAACTGTGAAGACCTCTCTAAAGAGTTTAATTTGTCTCCATTCCTACCTCTTTTAACAGTCAGTAACAAGAAACAAACAACATGAATAAATACAACCTGAATCTTTAATATTCTCAAAAGGTCAAAAATATTTATAAAGCAACTTTGACTTTTGCCGAAGCATAAACTTGCACTCTATTGTGGCACTAGTCATTAGTTCTTTGGTAATAGAACTGCCTTTTAAAAACATTTTTTACAAAATAAAAAATAACTTATGAAGCAATTATTTTATAGATTAGAAACACTATAAGGTTGGGTGCCCACTCAATAATAAGGGGTTACATCACATATCCAGATGACTCCCTACTATTGAAAGGACACACAAACATGAGTGGTGTATCAAACTCATGATAATATCATATTTCGTTATGAAGTGTTTTGTTCCAAAACTCTTGCAAATTGATAATTTCCCTTTAAAATTGTAAAAAAGATGGGAGAATTAATAATTAATAATTAATTAGGTTGGCAAGTTTTTTAAATATAAGGACCAAGAAATTATTGGGTCCACTCAAAGCACCATGTGGACCTCCACACCAATCACAAAATGACACCTTGACCCCTACCATTGGACCCAATCACTTGAAAATTATTCAAAGTCACAAGTGATATTGTCCCAAACAAATTTAAAACTACAGTGTTCAACACGTCACTATGTACACAAGACCTATACAAATCTACAGACTCAGATCGACTTGAGGAAATGTCACCCGTGGCATTAAACAATTGGTCCTATAGCTTGAACAAATATGACAAGCCTACTAATAGGGGCCAACCACCACGGGTTGTGTGGCATTTTATAAATGGTGTAAAGCATCATATAACTAGCCTTTACCCAATAATTTTTTAAAAAAAAGAGACAATACTATCAATTGAATTATGTTTACAATCCTTCTTTAACATAGTGAAGCCTTATCATAAAAAATATTAGAAATGTTTGAGACATCTGTTTTTGGGGTTTCACGACCCCCAATTTAATCTTGGGTTTTATTATGTCTGTAGAATCTACTCATATATGTGTGAGTCCCACATTATGAATGATTAGGGTGAAAGTAGAAATTGTGGAAGTCATATATGTGTAGGAGTCTCCATCACAATTGAAAAAAGATTTCAAATACCTCATTAAAAAAGATTTCAAATACCACATGTACCTAATTACAAAAATGAGACAACAAAATTAGGGATGGCAATTTGAACCCGGCCCGACGGGGACCCGACCCCCCATCCCCGATAAAAATGGTTTTTTCCCGAAAAATACCCCCGACGGGCCGGGGATGGTATTAAAAAATAAATCCCCGGTGACATTCGGGCCGGGGACGGTGATATATATTTCATCCCCGGCCCGCCCCGGCCCCCGCCCCGGTCAGCCCCCCGATTTATATATATTATATATATGTTACACGCTCTATCTCACACCACACTCTCTATTATATTTATATATTATATTATATTTATCTATTATATTATATATATTTCAACCTTGTTGAATAACTCAGCAGTAGCTCAGAGCTACTAGCTCTATCTCACGTACACTCTCTTCTCTTCTCTCACTCTCTCTCTTCTCTTCTCTTTACACAGACACAGACGCAGCGCAGGAGCCTCCTCCAAGCCGCCACCACCTCCTCCTCCTCCTCCAGGCCACTACAGCCTCCTCCTCCGTCGCCACGGCAGATCTAATGGAGTGTAGCACATCGTCGATCTCCACTGCCGATCTCCTTCGCCGATCTCCACCACCGCCCTCATCAGCTCAGATCTGTAAGATCTGTTATTCTTTTTTTTATTTGTTATTGATTTTTTGATCTGATGATCTGTAATTTTTTTTTTTATCTATTGATCTGTAATTTTTTTTTTTGATCTGTTTTTTTTTTGTTGATCTATGTTGATGATGTTGAATGTTGAAAAACAGATCTGTTTTTTTTGATGATCTGTTATTCTTTTTTTTTTTTTTTTATCTGTTGATGGTGTTGAATGTTGAAAACAGAGTTGGATCGGGGACTTTTCGGGGTCGGGGAAACCCGATCCCCGTTGGGGACGGGGATGGGGACTGTGACAGGTTCCCCGTCGGGGATCGGGGCCGGAGACGGGGAAATTTTGGCCATCGGGGATCGGGGACGGGGAGGGTGGTCCCCGGCCCCGCCCCGTTGCCATTCCTAAACAAAATTGGTACATTATTTCCTTTTTCTCCAACATTATCCAAACAATTATGTTTGGTTTAATGTTTTAAAACGATTTATAAGTTTTATTTAGATTTTTCTTGTTCTTATCTTTAATGTACTATTTTCATGTTTTAATTTTTTTTTTTTAACTTTCTAATGTGTTTATTTATTTATTTATTTATTTTTATCTTTAGTAATTTTTTTTCATATTTTCTTCATAAATACCTTACTTTTTATGTACATCAAAAAATGAAAAATATTTTGACTAAAATATGAAAACAGTTTGCTAAACACAAAAAAATACATAAAAGAAAAATCTCAAAAATGGTTTTTGATAAGGAAACCAAACGAGAACAAAATTCTTTCTTTTACCAAAAAGATAAACACCCTTATGGCATGTTTGATTGGGTGGATTAGAGCATGAAATTGAGATTATTAATCCGTGGACTCAATTATCCTATGTTTGTTTTAACATTTTGGTTTTGGATTATTAATTCAATAGATAATTATTCCAACAAATTTGTAGGATTATTAGTAATGTGGTAGGGGTGAGATTATTAATCTAATGGATATTAATCCAATTGGATAATGAATACCACACTAATTTAATAGGATTATTAATACTTCACTATTAATCTTGTGAATCAAACATGACCTTAGATTATTGATTAAACTATATCTAAGAGATCAAGATATGTCTACCCTCACCATCCAAACGACAAGGTTAATCTTAAACTAAAATGCAATCAAAAATGCTTTATACCCCCACTGGGGGTCGACCCCCAGTGAGGTGGAGGCCCGTGATTGGGTGAAAAAAAACTATTTTTTTTTTTAGTTGTCAGCCAGTGGGGGCGCGCCACCTCACTAGGGTGCGAACCCCCCGCTGGGGGTATTTAGCAGGGTTGAAAATGCAATACAACCAGCTCAAGTGATTCTTCTGACACTGATTGATGGGTGTGGTGGACAAAATGATATCATGTGTCGTGTGTAATAAAGGAAAGCAAGGATGGCACCAAAACCTTCTTGAAAATTTCCCTTCATTACTGTATAGCAAGTTAGCAACAGTCAACCATCGGTGTGTGTGGTCTTCCTGACGGGGAAGAAAAAAGAAGGAAAAGAACATAAATTGTTGGTGGCTTCAATTATATATATATATATATATATATTTAAGAGTATATGCGTGTGGCTGTGGTTTTAATTTGAAAAACTTTTTGATTATGATATGCAACCTGGCTTGAATTTTGTTCAAGTATCGGATGATGGACGGGACTTTCTCCTAATGTTGCTTTTGATGAAGTTCTATTTCAAGAAGAAAAAATAACAAACATGGACGCAATGGGTGTTTACTTCGGAAAAATCCTTTTTGGATTGAATCATTTAGCTAAAAATAAGTGATGGCCATGAGGTTACAGGTGAAGAAAGCATGTGAAGAAAGCATAAAGGAAAAAAAGAAGGAAAATGGCAACACTGGTTTTGAAGTTGTGACACAAAAGAAAATTTGAGAAAAAAAATTAGGGTAATATAGACCTTTTATTAATATTGCTAGCAGAGTTGGGGGAGCTTCTATTTGTTCATACCCTTTCCACTTTTTGTACAAACTTAATGATATTTATTTTTATTATAATTTTATCTTAAGTGAAATTACTATTATGGACATCACACAAAATTCAAATAAACACACATTCTCAATGCACATCCACATCCATTTCCACGTTGAAGCTACTGAGACTGACTTCCATACTCAGTTTGCTAAACCTCCACATTCCATCCTCATCCTTTCAAATCCTTCATTGTTAGCTTTCATTCATTAGTTTACACACACTAAACCCCCTTATTTTTTATTCTTAGCTTTTAATTAGTTTACACATTAAACATCATCATTATTCATCATTGTTATGGAAGATTTCCCTTCAAAAAATTTAGATTTTCAGAAGCAGATAAATGTTTATGAGAAAGATGGCTAAGGAAAAGTGAGTTTTGTTATGTGAAAGTCGATTTTTTTTTTCCCCCCGGCATCTTTTGGATAACCAGGATTGAAATATATCAATTTATTCAGTAGTCTACTACCGAAATAATTATGTAATTTCAGAAATTGTCGTCTGAAATAATTTAAATTTTTCGACATTCAACTTCTAAACTGGTAAAAATAATTTGGAAAACTACATTCGAACATTATCATTTTTTTCGATATTGTACTTCTGAATGAAATAATTTTTTTTTTCCATTTTATATTCCAAATTCGTAAATTGCATACTAAATTTGCAATTTCAAATTGCAAAATTGTCTTTATAGTACCATTTCAAATTTATAATGTTATACAAAAACATGTAGGAATATGTCTCAACTTAAGGAAGTCAAGTTTGTGCGGATAGTGTGTTGGATTACACTATTCAATTTACAACTAAGCAGGTTCACTTCACGAAATTAAAATGATTGTGTTTTGAATTGCTCAACAAATGTAAATGTTTTATAATATTTATTTGACTTTGTAGGTATTCAAAAGTAAGGATGAAATGCTCAACTGGGTACGTGAAGTTAGAAAGAGAAATGGTTTGGTCATTGTAATCAAAACATCAGACTATGGTGGAATGAAAAAAAGATCCAGGATGCATTTTGCTTGTGAGAGGAGTGGCTAATATAGAGCGACAAAGAAGTTAAAACATGATGACAACAATACATCAAGAATAACTGATATGAAGAAATGTGGTTGTCCTTTTGATAAGAGGGCTCACAGGTTTACCACAAATGATGAATGGACATTGACCGTAGTATGCGGATTACATAACTATCCACCTGTGGAGCACCTTAAGGGACATTCATATGCGGGGAGGCTGTCAAAGAATGAGAAAACATTATTAATGGATATGTTAAAAAACATGGTTAGGCCAAAACAGATTCTAGTGACCTTGAAACAACAAGATGCTCTCACTGTAAGCACACTTAAAACCATTTACAATGTACGCCATCGAAACAGGGTGGTACAGAGAGCTAGAAGATCACAAATGTAACACTTATTGAGTGAATTGGCCAAGTATAATTACATTGAGCGCCATTGATGTGAAGAGTTCACGATGACTGTGACAAACTTGTTTTGGGCACATTCTATCAGTTTGGACTTATTTCGGTCTTTCTCACGTATATTGATTATGGATTGCACATATAAAACCAATAGATTTTATTTTCCTTTTCTTGAAATTGTGGGGGTGACATCAACTGAAATGACTTTCTCAATAGCTTTCGCATACTTACAGTTTGAGAGGGCCGATAACTATGCGTGGGTGTTAACTACATTGCGTGATGTCATGAATGGTTTGTTTTGCCAGCGATTATTGTCATTTACAAAAAGCTAGCCTTGATGAATGCCATACATAAGATATTCTCGAGTGGCAGACATTTATTATGTCGTTGGCACATCAGTAAGAATGTATTGACCAAGTGTAAGAAAATGTTTGAGACAAAGCAGAAATGAGAGAAGTTCAACCATGAGTTGAACTCTTTAATGTATTCATCTTCTGAAGCGTCTTAGATCATTACTTAAGAAATTCAGTAGTTATCCCGATGCAGTGCACTACGTCATGGATACTTGGTTAGTTCTTTACAAGGAGAAATTTGTGACAACATGGACATACACGTATATGCATTGTGGCAATGTTACAACCAACCGGTAAGATTACTTTTGTTCCATAAGTTATTAATAAGTGCCATGTACTTTATTTTTATTTGACTTACATTGAATTAAATAGGGCTGAGAGTGCACATGCAAAACTTAAAAGAATTGGGTTCATGTCAAGTCTCATTTGAGGCATCATTTGAGAAAATACACACAACAAAGAAGAGGAAACAGAGGTGACTTGTCATGGAGAAGTAGAGTTGTTTGTAAAAAAATTCAATGAAAGTGATAGAACCATGCGGTCGGAGCTTTTGAAGAAGTTGAAAGAGATTGTATGTCCGGGAAGCACTTTTCTAGTTGAGCTGGATGTGAAGCCCAAAACACATCCTCGGGGTCATAAGAAGATCAATGTTTCTACTTGTCGTGACCCTTTGTGCATTTGAGTTGGTGCAATCTGGGCATGATTCCTTCTCACCTAGGGACACTCAAATCACTACATTAGCTTATACTTCGGAAACCAAGAAGAAGCGACCTGTTAAGAGAAAGGAGAAGGTAAATGCGAAGGGGAAGGTGTACATTACCAGAACAGTAAAACCTTGTGTATATGTTGATGTTTTCCTTTCTGGGTTGAAACCATACATTAAGTTTGCCAAGGATGTAGCTGTAGATGGGAATTGTGGTTTCAGGGCTATAGTTACTTCCGTTGGTCATATAGAAGATGATTAGGCTCAGATTAGACATGATCTTTTGGGTGAGCTGGACACACACAAAGAGGAATGCATTACACTCTATGGGTCCTACGAAAGGTTTGAAGAATTGACAAGCATATTGTCATACTTTGAAGACATTCCTGGCTTCTCACATTGGATGACTATACCAAGCATGGGGCATCTTGTTGCATCGTGCTACAATCTTGTCTTATACTACTTGTTATTACAACAATGTTTCATCTTTTTACCTCTTAAAACAGTGTCGGTACCTCAACTTGATAGACGTGAGATTGCCATTGGGTTTGTCAACAGAGATCATTTCGTCCAGGTATAAGAGAAACTTATCATTTTGTGCATGTACAGGAAGTTATGAGGTATTACCATTAACTCAATTGACATTTGGTGTAGGTTTTTTTTGTAGCCAATCCATCCAGTTCCTCCTATAGCCACTAATTGGCGAAAGCACCGTCACCATTGCGCTGTAGACTGGGATAATGCATAAGTGCGCCGCATTCAGCATTTTAAGGACATCATTCGTGATACTGTAGCTACTTGAGAGCCATTTGATGTTGTTGATGTCGAATGACACATGTATGCATTTGACAATGTTAGAACTATGGAAGAAATTAATGGATGTGTTTTTTGATATTGATGTGTTCTGTGGCATAGATTGAATGTTATCGACCACTGAAAAACGTACATCCTAACAGAAACAATAAATAAGCTCTAGCAGCGCACTGTATAGCCTTCTCTAGGTCTGAATCCGTGACACCAGCAAACTGACTTCACAACCACTCAAGCCTGATTGAATTCTCACCAGCAGTAAAAACCTTGTCATGTGCTACATGTTCAGTAATCCCCATGCAACCAGTAGTGTAACTCTTTGAAGATCCGTCACATCTTGTACGCTGACTGATCTGCCTACACTGGGTAAGTTAAGAATAGTGCCAACATTATCTAAGGTCAAGGTCATCTCACCAACTGTCATATGAAATGTGTTTGTCCAGTTTTGTTGCGAGATGGTAACCTGAGACAAACACATTTCATATGACAGTTGGTGAGATGACCTTGACCTTGGATGATGTTGGCACTATTCTTAGCATTTCCATTGTAAGCAAATCAGTCAGCGTACCAGATGTGACGGATCTTCATGGAGTTACATTACTGGTTTCTTCGTATAGCACATGACGAGATTTCTACTGTTGGTGGGAATTTAGTTAGGCTTGAGTAGTTGCGAAGTCAGTTTGCTGGTGTCACAGATTCAGACTCAGAGGAGGCTATACAGTGCGCTGCTGGAGCTTATTGTTGTTTTTGTTGGAATGTACGCTCTTCAATGACAAGAGTGGCGACAAGATTCCTGTTGTTTACCTTGGCTTATTGATGGATTTGGGATCCATTCATACTTACGCCTGGGGTGCTGCTGCATTAGTATTTTTATACAGACAGTTGAGGTATGCTAGTTGGTCTGATATTAAGCAGATGGGTGGTTATATGACTCTTCTGGAGGCATAGATTTATGAGCACTTTCGAGCATTCCGACTTCACCAAAACATGGGCTACGATGAAAACATGTCACACATGTAGCATTAAACATCTAGAAGAGAGGCAGATTCCTCCATTAATCATTTGAAATCTTTTCGAACAGAGCTTGACAGTTTGGTAGCAACTGATGTAAGTTTACTCGTCCTAAGATAATTTTAATACTTTCCATTTATCTTACCATTTATATACTTTAATTCAAAAATACTTTACGTTTACAGGTTATTTGGGATCTATACCATAGTTAGAGAGACTGGCATCTATATAACCCGGTTAAGTTCTACTATAGATGCTTGAAGTGCTTAGACGTGGTCGAACCTTATCATCCAAATAAAGTTCTCAGGCAGTTTGGCAGGATTCAAACCATCCCAGATACTAGGAATGGCAACGGGGCGAGGCGGGGCTGGGGACTACACTACCCGTCCCCGAAAGTGATAAACCCCCGTCCCCGCCCCCGATTCCCAGCGGGAAGCCCATCCCCACCCCCGCTCCTGCCCCCAATCGGGGATCGGGTTTCCCCGATACCGAAATATCCCCGATCTTTTTGTATTATTATTATTTTGGTCAATACAATAACATAAGAACAAAACAAAAAAAAAATTAATCTGTTTTCATCATCATCATCATCAACAACAACAACAATCATCAACTTAAAAAAAAAAATTTGAAATTGAAATTGAAATTGAAGAGAATTATTGAAAAAAAATTTGAAATCCGAAAGAAAAAATCTAAAATCTAAAAAAAAAAAATTTGAAATCTAAAAAAAAAAAAAAAAAATCTGAAATCTCTTTTCATCATCAGATCATTAAACTGAGCTACAACTCTAGTCTAGAGTTACAAATCTATTTTCATCATCATGAGTCTGTAGATCGTTGAGCTGCTGCAACTCTAGATCGTTGAGCTGCTGCTCGCGGTCCATACTGAGGGGAACGACGATGATGATGGTGGTTCCGGCGAGGCGATCCACGAGGTTTCGGCGAGGCGACATCGCTGCTGCTAGATCTCGAGAGAAAATGAAAGGCCCAATCTATTGAAAATGAGAGAGGCAAGAGAGAAAATGAGAGGCGGTACTAATGGTGTAATGTTTTAGGGTTTAGTTTTATATATAGAGAGGGGTAAAATGGTAATTTTACTTCGAGGATCAACCGGGACGAGGGCGGGGACGAGGCTTGGACACTTATCCCCGTCCCCGACCCAAAACTGGTCGAGGATTGATTTTTTAATACCATCCCCGCCCTATCGGGGATATTTTTCGAGAGAAAACCACTCAAATCGGGATCGAAAGGTCGGATCCCCGTCGGGCTGAGTTCAAATTGTCATCTCTACCAAAAACACCATTGGCTCCCACTCGTAGTGCTCAAGGCAACATATCTACACGATATAAAATTATGTATGGATACTTGGATAGGATCTAGGAGGCTTGGGATAACTACGTGTTGTGTGAGTAGCAAAGGAGCACACCTGTTCGTCAGCCTTGGGAATGCATACTAGGTTACATGAATTGGTATAAGAATATCACGCATCTATATCTTGAGCGCAATGATGGACCACGTGTGCATGAACATTAGGATTTCAACCAACATGCCGATGTAATATATTATCATCTTTTATGCATTTGTAACTTACTTTTGCTTTTCTGATATGTTCCCTAAAATGTGATATTCTTTTCAAATGCAACGTATTGCATATGCACTGAGAATTGCACATCCTATCATTCAGGCTGGTTATGAGGACAGGATTCGACATCTTCAACGACTTTACCAGGCTATCGAGGCTATGGCGCATGTCCTTGAAGGTCAACACATTGACGAAGCTAGACCTAGTTGTACTGGAGACCGTTTTTCATCTCCGGCATTGACATACAATCGTAGGCCTAGTCGTAGGCATACAGATGATTCGTGATATGTTATTTGTTAGTTGATGAATTTTTTGTGGTGTTTTTGTAAGCTGACTTTGTTGTACACATTTTTTAATGACATTATAAAAGATATTTTGTTATTAAAATAGAATGGTAACAATGGTCGATGACATTATAAATGATATTTTCTTATTAAAATGTAATGGTAACAATGGTCGATAACATTCAATCTATACCAAAGAACTAATCAACATCAAAAAATAAATCTATTAATTTCTTCCATAGTTCTAACATTGTCAAATGCATACATGTATCATTCAACATCAGAAACATTAAATATCTCTCGAGTAGCTACAGTATCATGAATGATGCCCTTAAAATGCTGAATGCGGTACACATATGCATCATCCCAGTTTGCTAAACCTCTATATATTTCTAAACTAACAAACTAGGATGATGCATATGATGCATTGTTAACAATTCTAGTTTAGAAATATATGCATTCAAAGAGTGGAAAGGATGTGCAAATAGAAGCTCCCCAGAGTTAGTCTTTGCATTTTACGCCAAATCTCAAGGGGTATATATTTCTAAACTAGAATTGTTAACAGAGTTGGTCTTTGCATTTGACACCAAATCTTAATGGAGAAGGGGGTAATGAATTGAAAATTGTTTGCTAAATGATATCCCCCACTCAGACTTCACTAGGTTGGAGGCAATAAAGAAACAAAATCATTAATACCTCAATTTCAACTTTAAACCATTTGGAGCTATACCATAAAGAAAGCTTATGATGGTGGGAAAGAACCAAGTGGTTCTATATCATCTTCTTGTATAAGCATTAACAGCTACTCATGTTTAAAACCAAGTGGATCAACACACAAACACCTACTTTACGTCCAACTATTTTATTTTTAATGGAAACATTGATAAAAGAAAATAATGTTTAACCAAATTAAGATCAACAAAGTAGGCAGGTCCAACAATGTTATGACCAAAATAAGAACAAATTTCCACACAACTAATGAAAAAACTAAGGGTATATTTGGTAACGTTTACGTTTTCAGTTTATATTTACAAAAATTTTATAAATTGATTTTTGTTTATTTTTTGTTTATTTTTAAAAAAACATAAACTACAAACGCGCTTAGTAATTGGCAAAATGTTTAAAAAATTTAAAAAATATAAAAAAGAGTGAGAAATGGCAAGTGGTGGCAAGTGACGGCGGAAGACGGTGGTGAAAAGTGGTGACGGTGGGTGGTGGGTAGTTGGTGGGGGTGGTGGTGGTGGATGAGCGGGTGACGGTGGCGGGTGATAGGTGGTAGCGAGTGGGTGGTGGTGGTGGTGGTGGGTAGTGGTGGCTGGTGGGTGGCTGGTGGTGATAGGTGGTGGATGATGGTAGCAGGTGGGTGGTGAGTGGTGGTGGCAAGTAGATGGCGGGCGGTGGATGGTAGTAGCGGGTGGTAGGTGGTGGCGGGTGGATAGCAAGTGGGTGGTGGTGGTGGTGGTGATGGCGGCGGCGGCGAGGAGTGGGTGGTGGTAGCGAGTGGGTGGCAGGTAGGTGGTGAGTGGTGGGTGGTGATGGTGACGGAAGACGGTGGTGGAAAATGGTGACGGGTGACGGCTAGTGTTGGGTGGTAAAAAAAAAAAAATTAAAAACGAAAATACATTTTTTGTGTTTTCATTTTTTGACCAAATTTATAAACTGAGACTACTGATTTTATAAATTAAAAATTTTACCAAACAAATTTTTATTTGAGTTTTTAAAATTTCTGTAAATATAAATAAAAAAAATTAAAAACGTAAGTGTTACCAAACGACAGCTGGATAATCACTCTTAAAATAAATAAAAAAAAAATATTTTCTCTCCATTTCTTACAACTCCTTAGGTGGAAAAACATATCAAGAGCAAAGAAACGGTAATAATTTTGGTTCAGATTATTGCAAACTCAAACACAATTGTTTGCAAATCAAATTCAAAGAATCATTTTTCAATATTTAACTCCAAAAACTGAAACAAAGACTACAAACTTTAAAAACCAGGAAAAAGTATTGTGCTCTCAGTCAATAGGGCCAAAGATTTTCCACATGAGAAAGCTGGAGGAAAAGCAACCCTCTCAAAGATTTAAACCACAAATGAAGAAAACCCTACTAGTAAAGTGCTAAACAATGCCCTCATCTTCTCTCTAAAAGATAAGAAAGATTCACACTGTTAGAGAAAAGATTCATCAAACACCAACAAGCACTCAACAAGTAAAAGCACTTATTAATCCCCTCATTTTTAGCTTAAATCCAAGTGAGTTACCCCAAACCCCTCAACCCTCTCTTCAGTGTGGTTAAAGCAAAAAACATCATCGAGCAAATCAAAATAAAATTTTAAAATAAAAAAACTACGAGACCAAGATCGAAATTGAAGGGTAGAGTGTAGTACCTACGAGAAAAAGCAAGAATCCACAGGAAACTTGGAATCTGCATGTCCAGAGGTACCCTGTGTTTTTGAATTTGATTTTGCATCTCTTTCGTGTTTCCCGTGCTATTAGCTTAACAGAGGAAATCATAGCGACAGATGCTTGTTCTTGATTGGAAACACATTGAAATTTTCCGAGAAAAAATTTAAGTTAAAAAGAGAAAATAAAAAGGAAATTAGATTGAGGTCTTGGTGAGGCGTGAATCTGATGAGATCGATGATGGCGAATTTATAGGGTGAGGAAGTTAGGGTTTGGCGCACGATGACCTCATAATTACATATCTGCCCCTTGCCATGATTTGTCCGTTTGGGAAGTGAATTGACTTTTTAATTTTTTTAGTTATTTTAGACTGAGTTAAAAAGCTTAATTTGGGAAAGACTTTTTGACTTTTTGACATTTTTTGTGAGAGAATAGTGTAATAATGATGGATTGAATGTGATATTTTGTTTGTTCTGGTTAAAATAACTTATTTTGTCTTTTGTGATTAAAATAGCCACAAACTAACTTTGCCAAATGGATACATAGATTTTGGTAGGGGTGTACGCGGTGCGGTTCGGGCAGTTTGAGAGGAAAATTACAAATCGAATGGCGGGTTAGCGGATTAGTGGATTGACAAATTGCGATTTGGGCGATTTTTGACTGATTGACGGATAGAAGAATATTTTAACTAATTATTATACATTTGCATAATATATAACACTAATTTGTATAATATTTTTTAGATATATAACATAAAGTAATTTTACATAATATGTTTCATAGATATAATCACTAATTTGTAATAAATTTCATATTTTAAATATCTCTCACTTATTTTTATATTGATATTTCATTGAAAGTTAAAAAATATATATGTATTAACTATAGCGGAGCGGAGCGGTTCGGTTGGCAAATTATAAATTTTAAAGTTTAAACCGCGGTTAGCGGTTAGAGCGGTGCAGATTGATGCAGATCGGTGCGGTTTTAGCGGATTTGGCGGTATTTTGCACAGCCCTAGATTTTGGATTGTTTTGAAAATTGATTTTTTTTTTCATCTTTTTTAGTGTTTTTTTTTTTGTTGTTGAAAAAACGTGTACAAGGTAGATATGATATGACTTAAAATAGGTAAAAAGTTGATCATTTTTCCAAAATAGTCATTTGTTGGATTCGGTAACTTTCATTAAATTAAAAGGAAGGGTGATTATTTAGTATTCTCGTAGCGTGGACACATGGTGTTTTATGAGATTTTAATTGGTAAAAAATGGTAAGGATCCACAATTTATGTTGAGATGAAAAATAACGTAGAGACTAAATAATTGATGATTGACTTGAAATATAACCATGTAATATTTCAAAATTATTAAATAATTTTTCTTAAAATGAAATGACTTGCCTTTACTTAAAATTTTAATTGAATCAGATAGTTGAAATTAAATAAAAAATTATGATTGATAAAAGTTATTAAACAAAAAAAAATTACCAATAAGAATTTTTTAAAAATTTTAATTAAATTATATTTTTATAAATTCCTACTGATGAAAAAATTTCTATTTAATAATTCTTCTCGGTAAAAAACATTAACTATCTTATCGAAATGAAAGTCGAACTGAGAGAAACCAAATCCAATTAAAAAGTTAAAAAATTGAGAATAGGTAGGAATGGCAACGGGGCGGGGCGGGGCCGGGGATCTCCCTCCCCGTCCCCGATCCCCGATGGTGGAAACTCCCCCCGTCCCCGGTCCCGACCCCGACGGGGAGCCTATTACCACCCCCGCCCCCGCCCCCCAACGGGGATCGGGTTTCCCCGACCCCGATAATTCCCCGGCTAAAATTAAAAAAAAAAAAAACAACAACAACATCATAAGCATCCATCAACATGTTGACAACAACAAGAACTTCATCAACAGATCTGCATAAAAAATAAAAATAAAAAATCTGCCTTTTTTTTATTTATTTTTGGATGAAAGGCAGATCTGATCTGAGCTATGGAAAAAATAAAAATAAAAAATAAAATACATAACACATCATTTTCTTCATCTTGATCTTCATCAGATCCGAGCTCTGATGGATGAGGCGGTAGAAGCGACGGAATGGAGGGCGATCTGAGGGAGGCAGAGAGTTGGTGTGAGGCAGATCGGAGGGAGGGAGAGAGATCGGTCACAACGACGGCAGTGCTGTTTTCGCCTCCTCTCTCACTCTCTCACACACGACGTTGATCGCTGTCGCTTTCTCCCTCACCGCCGCTCGTGAACAGATCGTACCGTTGCCACCACCGATCACTGATTTGAACAGATTACAGATCGTGAAGCTCTCTCTCTCTCTACCTCTATGTATGTATGTATGTATGTAGTATATATATATGTGTGTTGTGTGAGATGATTGTTGATGATGCGAGGTAGATAGATAGAATATATATATATATATATATATACGTGTGTGTGGGTGATGAACAGAACAATCTCAGATCTCTCTTTTCTTCTTTTTTATGTTGATGATGATGATAGATACAATTTCAGATTTTTTTTTTTTTAAAGTTGTTGATGATGAGTTGTGATGATGATGAATACTGAAAAAAAGATTAATTTTGATGATAGATTCAATTTTTTTTTTGTTGTTGAAAAAAAAGATTAATTTTGTGTTAAAAAAAAAAAGATCGGGATATTTCGGGGTCGGGGAAACCCGATCCCCGATCGGGGCGGGGGACGGAGGGGCGATGAGCTCCCCCCGGCGGATCGGGACAGGAGAGGGAATTGCACTTCGGGGATCGGGATGGTGGGTGTGGTCCCCGCCCGCCCGCCCGCCCCGCCCCGTTCCATTCCTACCTATTCTCAATTTTTAACTTTTTAATTGGATTTGGTTTCTCTCAGTTCGACTTTCATTCGATAGATAGTTAATGTTTTTACCGAGAAGAATTATTAAATAGAAATTTTTCATCAGTAGGAATTTATAAAAATATAATTTAATTAAAATTTTTAAAAAATTCTTATTGGTAATTTTTTTTTGTTTAATAACTTTTATCAATCATAATTTTTTATTTAATTTCAACTATCTGATTCAATTTAAAATTTAAGTAAAGCAAGTCATTTCATTTTAAGAAAATTATTTAATAATTTTGAAATATTACATGGTTATATTTCAAGTCAATCATCAATTATTTAGTCTCTACGTTATTTTTCATCTCACATAAATTGTGGATCCTTACCATTTTTTACCAATTAAAAATCTCATAAAACACCATGTGTCCACGCTACGAGAATACAAATAATCACCCTTCCTTTTAATTTAATGAAAGTTACGAATCCAACAAATGACTATTTTGAAAAATGATCAACTTTTTACCTATTTAAGCTCATATCATATCTACCTTGTACACGTTTTTTCAACAACAAAAAAAAAACACTAAAAAAGATGAAAAAAAAAAATCAATTTTCAAAAAAACAATCAAATCTAGGGCTGTGCAAATACCCCAAATCCGCTAAAACCGCACCGATCTGCATCAATCTGCACCGCTCTAAACCGCTAACCGCGGTTAAACTTTAAAATTTATAATTTGCCAACCGAACCGCTCCGCTCCGCTATAGTTAATACATATATATTTTTAACTTTCAATGAAATACAATATAAAAATAATGTGAGAGATATTTAAAATATGAAATTTATTACAAATTAGTGATTATATCTATGAAACATATATGTAAAATACTTTATGTTTATATCTAAAAATATTATTACAAATTAGTGTTATATATTATGCAAATGTATAATAATTAGTTAAAATATTCTTCTATCCGTCAATCAGTCAAAAATCGCCCAAATCGCAATTTGTCAATCCACTAATCCGCTAACCCGCCATTCGATTGTAATTTCCTCTCAAACTGCCCGAACCGCACCGCGTCACCCCTACCAAAATCTATGTATCCATTGGCAAAGTTAGTTTGTAGCTATTTTAATCACAAAGACAAATAAGTTATTTTAACCAGAACAAACAAACATCACATTCAATCCATCACTATACACTATTCTCTCACAAAAATGTCAAAAAGTCAAAAAATCTTTCCCAAATTAAGCTTTTAAACTCATCTAAATATACTAAAAATTAAAAAGTCAATTCACTTCCCAAACGGACAAATCATGGCAAGGGACAGATATGTAATTATGAGGTCATCGTGCGCCAAACCCTAACTTCCTCACCCTATAAATTCGCCATCATCGATCTCATCAGATTCACGCCTCACCAAGGACCTCAATCTAATTCCTTTTATTTTCTCTTTTTAACTTAAATTTTTTCTCGAAAATTTCAATGTGTTTTCCATCAAAGAACAACATCTGTCGCTATGATTTCCTCTGTTAAGCTAATAGCACGGAACACGAAAGAGATGCAAAATCAAATTCAAAAACACAGGGTACCTCTGACATGCAGATCCAAGTTTCCTGTGGATTCTTGCTTTTTCTCGTAGGTACTACACTCTACCCTTCAATTTCGATCTTGGTCTCGTGTTTTTTATTAAAATTTATTTTGATTTGCTCGATGATGTTTTTTGCTTTAACCACACTGAAGAGAGGTTGAGGGTTGGGGTAACTCACTTGGATTTAAGCTAAAAATGAGGGGATTAATAAGTGCTTTACTTGTTGAGTGCTTGTTGGTGTTTGATGAATCTTTTCCTAACAGTGTGAATTTTCTTATCTTTTAGAGAGAAGAGAGGGC